CAATTCCAAGGAATTGAAACAGTGGGAACCGGTTCTCAACAAGAACCGGTTTTCGATACCCATCCCTACTGGACAATGTGATACATAGATACATACACACACACAAACTTTTATAGACAAAGGTACGCATACATGCATTCAATGGGATGAAAGACCAAGGTAACTAGGACAGAATAATACAGTTTCATAGAGATCTGAAAGCCTTAGCTAGGTCTTCAAGTCTTCAAGTAAAAAACACGTCTGTATGTTATCAGCACATATTTTAACCACCTGCTAAGCGCTTGTGAGAACTATATGAAAGCTGCATGACCCACGTGACAACCCTGAATTCTGAACCCCTGTTAACAGGACTGTGACTTACTCAAGGCCTCTGGTTTTTCCCAACCAGCCTGTAACCCATAGTTTTTGTGAAAGACACCAATTTGTTTACAAACACTTGCCTAACCACCAAGCAATTGGTTGCAAGACAAACCAGTAACCAGTAAAGTAAAGTTGTGCTTTACAAAGCAACACATTTAAAAGGTTGAGCAGTATCCATCACAGGTTTTGAGCTGCACTCTTAAAAGTTTGCCTGCTTTTTCATGAGTAGTTATGGGCTGTCTTAGAAACCACAGGTGACCCTGATAACCTGCAGTTACAAAGAAGTTTTCAGTGCAGCACTGTATCCCATATAGCACAAACAATGTTCATGCTGGCAACAGCAACCAACTTCCAGCAAGTGCTCGCCAACTTATCAGCAACGACAAATGACGTTGCTGACCAGTTTTTAAGTGTGCATAAATGGTAAATGGCCTGCATTTGTATAGCGCTTTTCTAGTCCTTAAGGACCCCAAAGCGCTTTACACTACATCCACCCATTCACACACACATTCACACACTGGCGATAGCAAGCTACATTGTAGCCACAGCTGCCCTGGGGCGCACTGACAGAGGCGAGGCTGCCGGACACTGGCGCCACCGGGCCCTCTGACCACCACCAGTAGGCAAACATGGGGTTAGTATCTTGGCGCCGTATCTTGCCCAAGGATATTTGGCATGCAGCCAGGAGGCAGCCTGGGATCGAACCACCGACCTTCTGATTAGTGGCTGACCTGCTCTGCCACCTGAGCTACAGCCACCCCAACTGAGGCTTTAGCAGTTCATTTCACAGTGATTGCCAGCAACCACCTGCAACTGGTCAGATAGTACTCTCTTTTGCCTGATAACCAGTGGTTGCCACGTGGTCGCCAACTATTCTCGGGGGCCTGAATCTTTTTGTGTCCAGTACAGGGTGAGTAAGTTGATTAAGAGCAATCAGACCTGCCTGCCGATTTTTTTAAAATAGCGTCAGTGCTCACGAGATGGCTTTTGGTGACGAATTGAGACATTAGAAGAACATGGAGAATTTTTTCAGATGAGTCCCAATAATTTTTTAATAAAATAAACAGCCTTTTCTGTTACATTAGACATTATATCTTTTTTCTCATCTGTTTAGATACATTCTCTTCAGCAGCAGGTTGACTGTTCCCAAACCAGTGTGGATAACCTTGTGCTAAATATCAACACCAGTGAAGACATCCTGCAGGATCAAATGTACGATATTCAATCCCTGGACCTTCTACCTCTCAGGATTTTCTATAAAACAGTCCCATGAATGAAGGTTTATATTCAGTGTGTGTCCATGTCTGTGTTTGAAGGCTGCTGAAACAAAAAAAGGCAAATCCCTATCTTTTTGTAAACACTCAGTCACATGACTCCTTTGTGACAGCGGATGAAGAGCCACAGACGATAAAGTGCGAAGAAAACAGACCACAAAAGGTAATTTCCCATATTTCCTCAGGTCTGCTTACACATTTAAACCTGCTTTCATGTCATAGTGCTAAAGTGGAAAAATAACAGTTGCCTAGCTCATGTTTTCAGTTCAAAGAGAAAGCTGCAAATAAATAATTCACATGTGCAGAAGGTGATACTTAATGCTCTGGGCAAACAAAAACAAACACAAAAACCCCAACTGTAAACACCAAAAATAAAAATAAATTCTGTCTGTGCTGATGTTTTCATTTTGGACTGTAGGAGTGTATTAATTGTCAACAAGCAATGAAAACTCTGCTGTCCTCCCAAGAGGAGTGTGAGGCACTTAAAAGCGAGATCTGCGAGACCCTGTACTGCATTGACGAAGAGCGAAGGTAACCTAACTTACATCAGTGTGACAAATACAATGAGTTTGACGTGTAATTATGATTAGACGTCCATTCATCCATACAGGAGACAACTATAATTAAATGGAATAAAACGGCTGTGCAGAGTGTAACACGTAGGCATCTTTTGCCATCGTGAAATGAGCTTTTTGCATTAGATTTTTTTACCATGTCCCTTCAGCAAATTCCACGAGATGAAGCAAAAACACAAGGCCAAACTTTGCCGAGCCAAACAGAAATTTGAAGATGAAACCACCTGGCGTGATGAGAAGATAAAAAGTCTAGAGAGAGAATTGTCCTTGTGCTGTCATTCAGTAGCAAAGGTGAGTCTGCACTTGGATGTTTGAGGTGGAGCAGTAACATTGAGTCTTTTTACAGTTGCTTAGTCTGTATTTTACAGAAAACTGCTACTTGTGTCCTTCTGTTTGCTGTCTTATTGGTTCAGTGATGAAGCCAAATTTGTAAATGTTCATCAAGGGGGACTGTAGGAGCTGATATAAAGCTGAAGGTGGTAAATGTTTCTTTTTTCCTTTTCATGCTCAGGAGAAGGAGCTTGTCATAAGCATAACTGTGGAAAATGAGAAACTACTCTCTGAGAGGAGGAAGCTACTGCAACAGCTAAACGAGGAGGAGCACAAGAAGAAGGACAGTTGTCTAAAAGCTTCTTTATCCAAATGCAGGTACTGAAATTACTGAAATTTACTGAATGATAAGTCATCCAATCCAGACTTCATGTTCGTTCTGATCCTAAGGGTGGAACTTTTAGAGCTCGAAAACAAGAAACTCGGAAACCAAATATCACAAATGTCCAACCAGCTCGCTGTCCTGGAGTTCAGCCTGCAGAAGACGGAGCTGCTTCACTTTGCTGAGGTACCACTCGTGCTTATTAATTATGCTTTTATTTTATACACATGCTCCATGTTGTTTTATGTTTTCCATTTATTTGGCTATCATAAGAATGATCTATGAGCCTTTCTAATAAAATAGAAATTCCTAAACCTATAATTAGGCTCTGCCTCAAAGGTGTTGCGTAAATACACCTTGGTAAAAAAGAAAAATTCACTCTCTGCCAACTTTGGCCTTAGATCGTTAAATTTTGATGAAAATTTAACGATTTAATGATTGACTCTGTGGCTACAAGCTCAAATCCTCACCCCTCCATTACCGTGCTTGGCAGTTGGTATGAAGTGTTTGTGCTGATGAGTTGTGTTTGGTTTTTGCCAAACAGCACTGGACATTCTCGTCAAACATCACTTTAGTCTCGTCTTTCCAAAGGACATTGTTCCATTGTGTGGTTTGCTCTGATTCAAGAGGCTTTCTCCTGGGAGCCTCTTCAAACAAGCCACATTTATTCACTTTTTTCTGATTGTGCTGTCATGAACTTTAACATGCTAACTGAGGTCTGTAGCATGTTAAATGCTAATATAACATAATTTAATATTTGTTGAGTCTTTGACACTGAATTACCTACACTGATACAGCCTGACTGTGTCCTGGGTCTTAACAGATAAAGCCCATCTTTTGAATTTAATATTAATCTGCTGCTTGTTTTGTGTGATTAGAAACTTAAGAAAATGCCAGATGACCAGCAAGTTTTCAAGTCTCTTCCTCAGCAGTCTTCAAGGTAGGTCCAGCAGTGATTCAGAACTTGCCTCAAATTAATTTGTTAGGAACAATGAAACCTAATTAAATGTCTGTTAACTTTGCATCCACAGTGTGATTTCACCCGAGCAGTCTGAAGCTCAGGCCTTGTTGGATGGTACACTTAGAGGTCACTCCAAGCAGACAGATGGGACTTGTTACAGTCGTGCGTCTGAGATTGTGTGTCAATCAGCAGATATGAGCTACCTGAACCTGACCTCTACACAGAAAAACCACTTGAACCGCTCAGGTCCCCTGGCTGCCCTCAGCAGCCTTGAAAATCTGCCTTCCTGAAGTTTTCTGTTTTATTTGTAAGTTAAATTAATAAATAAGATACAAACTGGGTTTGAATTTCATTAAAACAATCAAATTAAACCAGCCTGAATTTGTATCAGTTTCTAAATTTTGTGGACTTTTGCATCAAAATTGACAATTTTTGCATTTGTTCTCCATCTTAAACTTCAAGGTTTTACATTGGAAATAAGTTATCTGAATTTCTGGAGCAGGCCCACATCTCATAACACTCCCCTTTCAATTATTTGTGTATATTTGACCCCTTGAGCTACAAGCAGTTTGTTCTTCTTTTAGTTCCCCACCTACCTTCCCTCATCTCTTTGTCTCTCATCTCTTATTAGTGCATCTGCCTGACCCAGGAGACGTCACCAGTCCCTTCTGAGCCCCTCCCCCAAAACCACAGTCTGGTTTCATGCTCATGCCAACTGCCATTATCTCTTATAGGTGCTGTCAATCCTAAATGATGATATGGTTCCTGCTATTAAACGGGAAAAAAAAATTCCAGTTCACTAGAATTAAAATTAATGTATCTAACATAATTACTGCACAGTTTAAAGATTTTAGGGACTGGTGATCAGATAAACAGCATCAGACAAAACAGGAGCATATCAAATGCTCTAAATTTCGGGGGGGGGGTTGGATTGGAGTTTCTTAAGTGCACTTTGGAAAATCACTTTGCTACACAAAACCAGTTCCACTTTTGCATTGCGCAAGAATAACGGCCCAATTGAGGTCAGATTACAGCAGGATACCAGTTTAACCTGAATCCAAGTAACAGAAATTTCCGTGAGCCACATTACGTGGCTTTTCAGTGGAAATATTTCTTGTTTTCAACAAAAACCTTTTCCTCACATGCTACTTCACTTGAAAAACATCTTAGACCCAACATTGCAGTTTTTGTACATAATATATTTCTCCTCAAAAAAGTCCTACAAACATTTTATTTTGACATCTTCTAATCAAAAGAAAAGCAAACACAGCCATTATTGTTGCAGAAAGGCACTTGATGCGCACTCGGACGTGTCTCAAACTGTCAAAACAGCTCTTTAAAATCCTTACATCCACCACAAAGGTTTTCATCGGAGAATTCAGTAGTGCCCTACAGATGTAATTTTATTCATATCAGTACAAAATAACTTGCAGCTGTACTCACCAACATTTGTTATACCCCAACAATATAAATATAGAAAACAGTTCCGTCATTTTTCAACATAACACCAAGTAATAGCACACTTGTAAAAACAGCACGAACTGACAATAAACCCTAAACCTTTGGTTCAAAGTTCCTGTGTTATAAATGATGTTTAAAAATTATGACTGTAATATTCAGAACGCAGGCTTATACCCAGGTTTTCATCAAGGAAAAATAATGAGCTGGAATGCAAAATAACTTTATATGAAATTCAAATACAGGGTTTATTTTTTAACAGATCAGCCGCCTGTGCTTAATACTTGGAAACCAGAAATGTATTTTACCACATAATGTGACTATGACATCAGTACAAAAAAAAAAAAAAAAAAAAAAAAAAGGGGAAGCTGAAGAAATGGGATGAAGACTAGCTAAAATTGTATATTATATGTGGTTTGCTTTGCTCGTTTGACCTTTTATCAGCACTGTTTTTTTAAACAAAGACAATGTCGCAATCACTGATAAGAACGCAAATCTGGCATTTGCATAGACATTTATCTGACGTCTTGTAAGCAAATTTGTGCATTTTGGAGTTGAGTGTAAATGAACTCAACAAGGAAGCATGAGTAACTAGGAAAATGTTCCTTTGCCATATTGTTTTCATACCATTATTTGAAATGGTTGCCAACTTTTGCATATTTTGTGAGTACGGAGAAAAATGTGTTTTCATATAGTTTTCATGCTATTAGAGTTGCTGAATTTGCATGGTTTTGTGTGTAATTCCAAGAAATACTAAAGTGTGCGCAGTTTATCATATTGTTTTGGTGCCCATAGCAGTCGAGTAACTTGAATGTCACTCCTGTAACCGATGTGGGTATCCCAGCAGTACTCTGGAGAAAGCACCCTGCTAGGTTTGTGCAGCCACAGGTATTTGTTTAGGTGACTTTCATCGTGCCACAAAGCCTCCACATTATTTTGTTTATCCTCCATGATGTTTTGGTAGCAGCCCTCAGCCAGAGATTTTACGCTTTTCCATGAGCCTCCAAAGACAGCAGCATGATAGTAGAAATCCCCGTTTTCCATGTAAGCCTTGGATTTCGGGTTTCGGTCATAAGTATAGAAAATCTTTGGAAGGTGGTAGTAGTAGGCGTGGAGCAGAGCCACAGAGTCTCCCAGAGCCTCTGAGCCAAATCTCCCAGTGAACACCTGATCTACATCGAAGCAGAAGACATGCGTGGAGTGGTGGCGAATATCAGACTCTATGACATCTGATATTGCCTTCATTCGCATCATCGAAATGTCCTGCCATCTTGAGTGCCGTTGCACTTTGATCATTTTCAAGGTTCGCTGAGGACCGAGATGGATGTGCAGGACCTTCTCTGGCATGTCGGTAAATACGTAGTAGGACACAGGCAAACCCACCATAAAGTGATGTTCTGAGGAGTTCAGAAAGGTCTCGAGGTATTCGTCCAAGTACCTTTGGTGATAGTGGAGAAAAAGAGTTCATGCTTTATTTCACAGTCTCAAACAGTTAGAATAATAGAGCACAAATATACAGACTAAATGGCAATTAGAAGACCAGGATGTATTTTAAATAGTCATAGTAATGTGAAAACAAACCTTCCCACAGCAAACACTGTTAGAGCAACAGAGGTTCCTTCCTTCTTGTGGTTCTGGTCGTAAACTTCAGGGTCAAACATCCCCTCCCAGAGAATAGGAGCTTTCCAAGTTGTGCATGTTTGAACGTCAGTTCGAGACCTGAAGTGGAAAGAAATCGGTTAAACACATATTACACTTAAGTTACCACTTAAGTGTGGTGGTTTTATCAGTTTATTTAAAAAACAAAAAACAAAAAAGAGATGTGGTAAGGCCTACAAATGCCTTGTTTGTGATAATGATCAACTAAAACTATTAGTTTCTCTTTGCCAGTGTAGAAATGACTGAACAGTCCTCAGAACGATGGTAAAAGAAGTCAGTGAAGATCAGATAGGAGAACTGTAAATTTTCAAAACTGAAAATTCAAACAATTATACATAAGTATTATTTAGATGTTATGGCAGTAAGGACGGACCCGAACACATATTTCACTCTTCACACTTTTCTTTATTTCGGTTGTCGTCTCTTACAACTCTCAGCTGCAGCTTTTTAGCTGCCAGCCACATAACACGTCCAACAACAACAACAACTACTCCTCAGGTCCCGGCACGTTTAATAGGGGAGGGTGATGAGCTGATCGAGCTCAGGTGTGTCCGCCTCCCCCCGCAGCCGCGCCACAAACCACGCACCACCACAGATGTGTCACTAGTTCTGTAAGAAAACCAAATCATCCTCAGATGAGTGGAAACTGGTCATAATGTTCTTTTGGGCTCAAGCATGGCTGAACTGGAAACTGCTGGAACATCAACGGCACCGTTTACAGTGAATTGAGTTTTATATCATCATGGACTGAGAGGAGAATACTAAAATTGCCACCATCAAGCTCAGCTCAAATTTCCTGTCAAGCATAGTAGTGGTAGCATCATGCTTTGGGGCCATTTTGCTGCTAGTGGTATTTGGGTATTGTACAAATTAGATGGAGTCACAAAGAAGGAGGACTACTGAAATTAAATCAACAACTGTACAGTGACATTTGGACATAATAGGTGTTGATTTTGGAATAGATAAAGCAGGTTAACATTAAACTGTTTGCAATGTACTTCCCAAAGCCCCAACCTCAAACATATTAAATTTGTGTACTATGCTTAACAGCCAGATTTGTGTCAGGAAAATAACTAATTTAAATAAAATTACCAATTCTGCCAAGAAGAATGCTCAAATATCCAACCAGAATTATACCAGAAGTCTGCTAATGGGAATCAAAAGTGTCTTAGTGAGGTGCAGTTTGCTACGGGACATTTAACCCAGTGTTAGTGGGGGTGTATGCATACCTTTTACTAGTGTAGATTAGAGAAAATCCAAGTAATTTCAAACTAGTTCATCCAAGTCTTTTTTTAAGTCATTAAAGATGTGTGCTATACAATTATTCCACCCTGGAAAATCAGTTCAGTTCAAAACATTCTTAAAATCCCCAAATTGCCATCACAATGGCAGTCCACGCCATCCATGCCACCAATTAATTCTTGGCTTTTGTGAGGGACATGAGTCTAAGACTTCTACGTCAAGCAAAATTTATGCCATCTAAATGATGGCAAATATAATTTATGTTGTAAATTTATGTTGAATGTAGCACCTTGGTTCTGGAGGAACGTTGTGTCGCTTCACTGTGTACTAACTGTATATGGTTGAAGTGACAATAAAGCCAACTTGACTTGACTTGACTATATGAGTCCTATAGTGCCAAGAGGACGTCCTGGGCTTTCTAGTGATGCCAACTTTACATCCATTACGGCTTCCATATTTTATGGCAATAAGGAAGCTTAAGTGCGATTCCCAAAAATTTGTTTGATTCCCAAAAATTTGATTATGTTCATTAGGGGTGCAACGATATTCGTATCGATATTGAACCGTTTGATACAGTGCTTTCGGTTCGGTACGCATATGTATCGAACAATACAACATTTGTAATTTATTTTATCAATTTTCCTTCTGACGATGCTGTCTGTGTTGAG